CTTTTACTTCATAAATGCACTTTGACAGTCAAATCAGCTGAATTTCAAAACCCGATACGTGAAAACATGAACGTGCAGAGGGCGACTCGCTGTGCATTTCTTCGAACTTTAACAAGATAACCACCTAAAACAATTATTTGTTAGCTCGACTTTATAGTAAAGGTGTGTCTCAGTTTAACTTTTACTTAATAAATACACTTCAGTGGTCAAATCAGCTTCATTTCGTTGGGGCGGTGCAGCAAAATGCAGCTAATATGATGGTTGCTCCAGGCAGATGATGGTGACAGGCTATGGCAAGCTGATTGTGTCATTAATAGACACTTTTACCTATTACATGATGCAACAGCATGCCATGCAGCTCGACTGCCATCTAGGCCAAAAACACCCGCTTCAGATAAGAAGCCCCTCCTGAAAATGGTGGTGTTCAATAGTTTCAGACTGAATGAAAACGGTCATATCTCAGATAAAAGACTGGGAATGGGGAAAAAATCATAAATATGTCGCTTCAGCGTAGAAGTTGCAGGGCATGCAAATTATGAAAAAACTGCAACTTATAGGGTGAAAAATACGGTACATAAAAAAAAAAGTTAATGTTATTAATCTGAGGAGCAGACTTTTAAGTTGAACTTTGTCGCAGACGCTCGTCTTGAGCAAGCACAAAGGCGACAGTGGAAAGGAAAAACTCCCTCATGAGGAAGAAATAATGCAGGTGACTCACCTGTGTAGTCTCTTGGCAGAATGTGAGGTGGACTGGAGAGAAGAGGGGGCGCAGTTTCAGTGTAAGACAGAGCTGAGTCTGGTTTTAGGTAGCGGGAAAAAGTAAAACAGACAAGAAAAAGTGTTAGGTCTGAAATATTGTTTGAGGAGTTTGATTTAATCATTTGTATTTGATTAATTTAAACTCATCTGTCAGATTGATCACTTTGTTTATTTTAAGGCAGAAGAGTTTTTGAGGGTGACTATTCCTGCACCAACAGACCTTCACTCCTAATAACTGGGTGTCACTTTGAAGGCAAGCTGCTTCACAAACATAATCTGTTTCCAGTCTAAAAATATGATGATGACGACGCGGTCTGTGTCATTTACCAGTTCGGTGTGTAGAAACTTTTTTCTCAAACTTACCCAGTAGCTTATGTTCATCTGAACGAGACAGAGAATATGGGGGAGGAGCTGATTCTGCAAACACAACAAAAACATAATTAAACATCGTCAACAGAGGGGAAACTACTGCTAGAATCATTGATTTTGCACAGAAAACATGTTTGATATATTAATTCCAAAAAACTGCATTATTGTGAAATAAAGTTTACAAAAAAATGTTTTCTCCCCTGGTAAACCAGTAAAGGGATAGTTCAGTTTTCAAGATTTAAACAACCTCAGTTTGAAAAATTACTTTAAACAAACTTAAGAGCTAACAACTTGTCTGGCCAATAACAAAAGTGCTTTACTGCCATTTTAATGTGACAAATTTGATCAATTTTGGCTGCACAGGAAGTGCTACAGCTACCTGCTGCTGTCGCTCTTTGTCTTTGCAATAACAATAGAACTGTTTGTAAATAACCATATTTATTTTAAATGCAATGGTTTATAAAAAAAAGGTTCACAGAATCTTTTATCACATGTGTTACACAGTAAATGATGTATCGGCTTCGGGTAAACAATATTTAAAGAACAAAAATACCATCAAACCAATAAAAGCTTTTCAGCATAAATAAACATCAAATTTGCACTAATTTACCAGCACTTGCAGTTAACAGGATTAGAGTAAAAACTATCATGAAAAAGTATGACGTGCAGTAAATATTGTGTATTTGTTATAAAACACCCACAGCTCAACAGGGTACGACACAATACAGTAGTCCCTCGCTACTTCAACTTTTGCAGACTCGCTCTTTTGTGGTTTTCCATCTTAAGATTGTGCACGACACACGGTTGTCAACTTTTAAATTACTCGTGGGATTGGGATGTACAGGATAAAAAGTTAACGAAAATAAAAACTTTGGACAGGCGCCACCATTTTGTAGTTTTATTTCAATAAGCCTATACTGTAACACAAGACAAAAGAACTACACTACCCAGAAACCAACAGTGCTGCTGGTCGCTGCTTTCTGCCAAAATGAAGGGAAAGTTTAGCAACGCAAAGTCAGAAGTAATGACCTATCTATTAATCTGATAGAACTGGCAGGAAAGTCATAAATAATCCTGAAGCTCAGTTATCCACGTGCACATCAACCTGGACGGGGAGGTAGGCTTCAACGCTGCAGGGTAGGTCTGCAGAACTGGAACCGAGACCGACTGGAACCGAGCTGCTGGTCTGCAGAGTAAAATTTTGCAGTACTGTACAGTATATATACATATGTTGTTAAAATTACACAGGTTCAAGAGTTTAGAACATTGTAAGTGTGGGAAGAGTTTTTAAAGCCTTAAAATATATTTAAATACTAAAACAAATATAGCGTTCCAGGTTTTTCACCTATTGCGGGTGTGTGGAACGTAACCACCGCAATAATCGAGGGACTACTGAAAGCAAAACTCATACAGTTTACTTTAAAATACCAACAGCTCACTCTCAACTCAGTGATGATTATCTCATCAGTCCGGTCTGAAATCACTGAATCAACCTGTTTTTTCCAAGCTGAGGTCATTTAAAGAGCTTTCTTCAACATGTAACATTGTAATTGTAACGTTTCTGCAGAACTCCACTGCAAACGATCAGGTTTCATGGGTGCTGTCCTGGCTTTGGTTTCAAACTTATTTGGGGATTTTGAAAAACATTAAGTTTCCACCAGCCATCGATATATCATGTATCTGTTATTGTTTTATAAACTTCTTTAGACATCATTTTTGACAGTTTATTTCCTCTATCGCCCTCTCTACTTGTGTTCGAGTCTCTTAGACACAATAATTCGCTGAAGCCTTTGGGTGCCTCATGCTGCTGCTGGGTTAGTCCCTTCACTCCAAAGTGGCCCTGCATGGGTTTTTGTGGCTGCGGCCCCTTTAAGAGCAGAGCCAGTAATTGTCAGTCAGTCAGATGCCCAGCGAGTCAGTCTGGCGCCAGCACTATGCAAACTGTATATTATCGGCACTCCTTCACCTAAATAACAAGAGGAGGACCTCCTTGTCAGAGGGAAGAGAGCCGAAGTGCAACTTGAGCGCAACCCTCACTTGGACCGTGTGGGAAGCAGAGAAATTCAGCCACAACTGAAAAGGAGAACTGAAACAGAAGTTTGTGAACTTTAAAGGTGGATCATAAAGCACGACAGGAGATATCAGACATGTCCCACTAAAGAATAATGTGTGAACATCAAAACAGTGGAATTATAGAGGTCATGAGTTTTGGATAAAACACATTCCTCCTCAGCCGCAAAGCACAATGCCTTTTATTTTATATCTTTTTATTTAGGAGCATCAATCATCTTCACGTGACTTTAAGGATAATTAACTCCACGAAGCACTTTATGTTTAGAAGGTTAGGGGCCCCCACCGGCAGGGGAGTCCCATGGAGGTGTCACTGATGGAGTGGAGACGCTTTTTACATGCAATCATTTGGGAGAGGGGTTCAATATTGAACCCTCACCCCCCACCCTCCTCCTCGCCCCATCATGCTCTTACCTGGCCCGCACAAGCGGCTGTAGTGGTGGGGGTTGCAGCACACCTTGGCGCTGTCCGCCGCGCCGAAGCTCTGGCAGTGGCACAGCGTCTTGAGCCGGGCGGAGGGCGGCAGGTCGCTCCAGCGGAACAGCTTGCACACCAGATACTGAGGGGAGACATGGCGCGCGCCGATCCGCAGCTCTGTCCTCGGCACCACGACGCATTCGCTGCTCAACCCCCCGCCGGTGTCCACCGCCCTCACCAAGGCGTCCAGAGAGCTCTCTTTGAGTCTTTTCAAAAAGGAGTGAGCGGCGCTCGCCAGTTCCTCCTCCAGCCCCGCGCGCCTTGGTGCGCACTGACTGGGGCCACCTCCGCCGTCCTTCCTCGGGGCCCAGTAAGGGCTCCGACGTCTCAGGGCCCATTCCCCGAACAGGCAGCACGTCACCGTCCTGCTGTCGCCTTCCTGCTCCGGTCCCGAGCCGCCGCCGCCGCTGCGCTCCGGGACGCACATGGCACCCGTGTCGTCTTCAGCCTGCTCCTCCTCCCTCTCCGCGCTCTCCGTCACGTCTCCAGCCTCCGCAGCGAGTCTCGGAGCCGGCTCGGAGCGTGTCACCGACCGCTGCTCGTGTCTGTGGAGCTTCCCCGGGTGTCTGCCGCACGCGCCGTTCCGTCCAGCCTCGCCGCGTCTGTTTCCATCGCGCCCGTCGCTCTCCGTGACGAGACGGCTTCTCCAGAGTCGCCGAACAAGACCCGCGCGTCTCGACTTGAACATGCGACACACCTAGACAGCTTTGGATGAGCCCAGTCGGTCCCGTCCGCCTCTCGGAGGATGCCGCATCGATTTAAACTCGTCGCCAAAGATATCGCTTGTGCACCGCGCGCGCACCAGGAGCAGCCGGTGGTCCCCGTTCCCTGGCTCTCCTGCAGCATCAGACTCACATTCAGTCCCAGGTTGCGTTAAACATCTTTTAATGGCAAATTCTATCAAACCACAGCTTTTACCAGCTGGACACCAGTGCGTTCCACTGCACGAGCCTCTGCAGAAAGTTCCCAAAACATAGTCCGGAGCCGAGGTCTGCGCTCACAACAACAACAACTCATCAGGATCATGAAGTTACCCAGAGTTTCGCCCTGAGCTTCATGCGCGCCCTCAGTCTTTCCTTAACCCTGCAAAAATAAAATAAAAATACTCGTCACACGACACCCCCGCAAATCCCGCAACAAGCAGCAACTCCAGTTTCAGGGACGCTCGGAGGAGCTCCGGGGTCCAAACTCCGGGACAGAATCCGTGCTGAGAAGTTTCAGAGGCAGCTGGACTGACTCGGCTCTGCACTCCCCGGTGAGTCTCTTTCGGGCGCACGCGCACTCGCACGCACTTTCTACAGCGCACACCCGAGTCAAAGCAGAGGATGAAAGCAGAACTGTTCGGCTGTGATTTTCAAAATAAAAGCGATGTTTTATGATCCCCTTGAAAGATAAACCTGAGACAGGCCAGTGTGATCCATCTGTACACATTGATTTTACATCTTGGAAAATATTACAAAGATGACGTTTGTAGCTTATCAATAACTACAAATTTTCTTTAAATTCCTTTTGAATCTTTTTTTTTTATTTTACACTATTTATTGGGTACAGTGGTGGTTTAATGATACAGAAAGTTTTCTTATTATGTACCTTTAGATCTATCTATCTATCTATCTATCTATCTATCTATCTATCTATCTATC